GTAATGGATGTAGGAAATTTTAATTATATATCTTGTTGTTCTTTGAAATATTTCAAATTTTCATGGAAAACAATGGAAACAAACCGTGCAACACGCACGTAAAATGGAACACGTAGCAGAGCGCGCGATTTTATTCGCATCGCGCGCTCGCGCTTTGAAGAGAATGACGAAGAAGAAAAGGTCCGAAAATGGAAAACGTATCTACTTCGCGATTTCTGTTGGAAAATTCTGGGGAAAATTCTGGGATCGAAAAAAGTCGAACTATCGTGGCGTGAGGAAAAAGGTCGAGGTTGAGGTGCGCGCCCTCGTGTACGTCCGGGAAAATTTTATTACCGGCAGTAACACGTCCAGAGATTTTTCCAGGGGCGCGTAACGTACAAACGCGCGGTCTCTAGAAGGAACGGAAACGCAGAGAGGATGGAAGACGTTGGGCGCCGGCCCACACGATCACACGGGAGGAAGTCACGAAGTATAAACGACGTGGTGTTTCTCCGCGCGCGGCAACGTTGACGTTTATCTCGTGGTAAAGGCGCGCTGTCGGACATGGAGTTCTTACGCCGACAAATCAATTTACGTCTCTCGGGAAAAGTTTCGTGAAAACAAGAGGGGAAATGACGGCAGCAGCGGCGGCGGCGGTGGTGGCGGCAGCGGCGGCGGCTGCTGCAAGAATCGCATTACCACCAACAATATTTCCTCACCGGTGGCGACTCGCTCTCCTCAAACGTTCCGCTTCTGCTTCGTAATGATAAGCTAATAGGTCAAGATGGACACGTTCCGGTCTCGGAATTCAAAGAGATGTCGGGTCTCTCGCTAATGCTCTGAGATAAATTCAATTTCGCGATTATTCTCTCTCTCTCTCTCTCTGTTTTTTTGTGCGTGTGTTTTGTACACGCCGCGAACGAGCTAACAAAAGAGAGAATATAGTTTACAATTAAAATCAAAAATTAAAAATTAGACTTCGCAATTTTTGTAATTTCACATGTATATACATCTCCTCTTTTTTTTTGACACGCGCAAGCATGATGATTTATACAAAAAACAAAACAAGATAACTCGGGGGAGAGAACAATCGAGTTAAATCGTAACAGAATGTCCGCGCACGTGTGTGCTTCTGCTCTGCTAACTTTCGAGGTAAAAATTTTTATCTCGAGGATCTTGACGACTGCTGCGAGACTTTTTGCGAGAAAGGTGAAGGCGTTCGATGGTCAGGCCAACTTGGTCAGCACGGAGGAAAGTCCATAAACTGATGGTTTATCGGAGCGAGTCGAAAAAGCACGACAGCGCGGAAGGAACGCGCGATAACTTCCTCAAAGCATCCGAGATTGTTTGTTGGCATCGCTACGGAAGTTTCGCTTAAGAGCTCGAGCGGAGGAGAGTCGAAGAGAGAAGTTGAAAGAGAGAGAGAGAGAGAGAGAGAAAGAGCGCGTAGAGATAAGGATTAAGGAAGATAGAAGGTTTACTCAGAAGGTAAGTACGCGCTTCTAGCACATCGCAAGAGATCCAGCTGTTGATTCGTTCTCGATGAAATTTCAGACTCGAGTTGGCAGGTAATTTCAAAGCCGCGTGTTTCTCTCTTCATCTTCCTCTCTCTCTCTCTCTCTCTCGCTCCACTTTACATCCACGTGTCCTCTTCCCACCACGTTTCCTAAGTTTCGTCTCTTTTTCATCATTTTTCCGAGCACCTCGGAATCTTTCTCGGTTTTACATCGAATTAGCCGAGCGGCCCCGTTCGGGCCGGATTTTATCCGCGCCCGATGAAGGTAAACGCGATTACGCCGAACGGACGGAAGGCGAAAACAATTTTTACATTAATTGCCTTCTGAAAAAAAAATCGAGAGAGAGAGAAAGAGAGAGGAAGATGAAAAGAGAAAGAGATCCGGCCGGAATCGCGCTAAGCGGCGGAGAGAGATTCATTAATGCTACGTTATTACTTCTTGCATTCCTTCGTTACTCGAATATTTGTATAAAACACACATGACGATTGTAAGACGAGCGAGAAACTGCGTTTTGAAAAATGAAATTTCATATGAGAAGTAGAGAATAAAAAATTTAACCATTAAACAAATAGCAGAAACGCGTGTAAGAGAAACTCTTTTGCT